TTTGCCTGTAGAGCTCTGAGCGTTTGAACATAAACATCTTTGTGAATGATGGAAGGTAAGTACACAAGGAAATACAGGTTTGTTTTTTTCCCATATGGCTATTCCACAACCACTTGTTCAAAAAAAGACTATCCTCCCTCCACTGAATTATCTAAACTCCTCTACTGAATATCCATTGGCCACACACATATGTCTGGAAATGCTTCTGGATTGTCAGTCCTGTCCCATGGATCCACAGCTCCAGTACTGGACATGTAGAGTAAGCTATGGAATTAGGCTGTGTTAGTCTCTTTATTTTTGCATAGTTACAATTCTTTAGGCTATCGTCAGGGTTGTATTCTCACATAAATTTCAATATCAGCTCATCAGGGCCTTCTCTGGTTGTCCAGTGGTTGATATTCTACATGCCAATGCAGGGAGCACAGGTTTGATCTCTGCTCCTGGAAGATCCCACAAGCTGAAAGGCCACTAAGCCGGAGCACCACAACCGCTGATCCTATGCTCTAGAGCCCACCAGCTGCAACTACTAAAGCTGGAGCGCCTAGAGCCTATGCTCCACAACAAAAGAAGTTATCGCAATGAGGAGCTTATCTCCTGTAACTAGAGTGTAGCCCCCACTCCCCACAACTAAAAAGACCCCATGTGTGCAGCAGCAAAGACCCAGACAAGCCAAATTTACATAAACAAATAAACAAATGAATCTTTTAAAAATGAACCTGCCTCACAATGCAGGGGCCGTCGCTTTGATCTCTGGTCAGGGAACTACGATCCTACATGCAGTGGAGCAACTACTGAGACTAGGCTTTGTGTCTGGAGTATCTGTGCACTGCAACAAAAGATCCCACGTGACACAATGAAGTTTCCACATTCCCCAAATAAGACCAGATGCAGCGAAAAAAAGAAAGTAAGGATTTGTTTAAGAAATCAGCTCATCAATTTCTCCAAAAATATTTCCTGCCATTTTCATGGACTCTATAGATGCGTTTGGCGGAAACTGATCCCTGAACAGTATCCTCTCATCAGACAGGATTGAAGAATATGTATGTGATATGTCTATATTTTTAGGTTTCCTTCAATTTCTCCCAATGTTTTCACACACAAATTTGTGTATGACAAGTTTTATTAAATGTACCATAATGTTTCATAAAGGGCAAGGTTCCCTGTGTGTCTGGATCCAACTAGGCAAAGGGATACTGGAAAGGGAAGTTATGAAACCAGAAAAGATGCAGGCTGGACCACATAGGTCTTTACAGTCCACTGAAAGGTTGTGGCTTCAACTCAGACTGAGAGAGAGCCCATTGGAGGGTTTGGAACTGAATAATTACAGGACCGGACAGGTTTTAAAGCAACCTAGCAGCTTCAGCAGTCCATATATGGGGTCAAAGTAGCTGAATGATTCCAAGTTTCCTGGCTGAGGGAGAATCAGATGAGAGTCTCATCCCCCTGGTGAACTGACTTCACCGTTCTGTGCCGGTTTGGGGAGCACTGTCTAGAAAGGGCTATCCCCAGTGCCCCTTCTGCAGCTTTTGACCTTTTCTCCAGCTGCCTGTTGTAAACCCTCCCCTCCCTTTTTGGCGATTTACCCACAAAAACTCTCATTTGTCTCCTTTTCTAGCATATGGCTTGGTGGTTTCTCACCTAAGACACAATCCCTTAGCAAGAAAATTAAGCAATAAATAAAACCGTGCTACCTCAACTCAATAATAGTGAAGACTTTGCTATTGCAAGTGAAAAAAGGAACAAATGAATACAAAATAATCACCTTGATTTAAGTCACAGGGAGAATTTCTGGGTCTGTGTAACTACAAGGTACAGAGGTAGTTTCTTTCTTCAGGCAAGGCTGGATCCAGCATTTGGTTCCCTGAGATCTGCCTTCTCGCTCCAGCTCCCCCTCTGTCCCTTGCCAGCCTGCCTCCCCTACAGCTCCCAAAGTGTCACTGGTTGGATGGGATCACCACAGCTGGAGGAAAGCAGTGCTCTGATAGTTCAGGCCTGAGCCACATGCCCACTCCTGGAATTGGAGGTGAAGTCAACTCTATCATAATCATAATGGGCGAGAGAAAAGGAAAGGGGTGATTTCCCAGGGTGACAGGAGGATACCAGAACCAAGAGAAGGAAATGGATGCCAGGTGAAAAAACCCATAGTTGTCCATGATGGTGGTATAGACTTTTCATCAAATTAAAAATCAATTTCTAATGTTTTTTTTTTTAAACCAAGGTAGGAAAGATTCTTCTTTAATGTGAGCATCAGCCCTGCTTCTGACCCTCCCATCAGCTTCCATCCTCTGATGCTGGGGTTCCACATCCACTTCTTCGGGGTGTCCTCTTCACAATGCCCCCTCACAGAACTTTGCTAATTAAAGTTCTAAGTAGGTGCTTTTTTCCAATGGGGAAATGAAGCACACCACTCTGTTCCAAAGCAACATCATTTCAAAAGTCATGATTCTTTATGAAGATAGCTAAGCAACATGGAAATCTAAATACTGAAATGATTCTCCCTAATGTCCAGTGATGACATTGGAGGGGGAGGCACTTATTCTGGGTGGTTATACTCAGCATTGTCCCACATGTTCATATGTTCAGAAAGTCCTGAAAGACAGGAATATGCCAGACCCAGAATTCTACAGTTTGCTTTCATTTCTTTCCATATTAGTTGACAGCTCTCTGGTTTGCTCTCTGATTGCCATATATTATTCCAGCAGGATGGAATTACCATGATTTAGTCAATGTTTCCCCCTGGATTTGCATTCTACCAATTTTTCACAATGACAAACAGTGCAGTGACTAATCCTGTGGTCGATTCTGCCTTGCTCACATATATAAGAAATTTCCTACAATAGATTCCCAAAACTGGGTCAAAGGATATGAGCATCTTGTAATAGAAAGTGCCAATCAAATGTCCAGATAGATTTTACTATCACTCTGATACTGTATAGGACTCCTTGTTTTGTCTTCTGTGGTGGTCCAGTGGTTAACAATCTGCCTGCCAATGCAGGGCACACGGGTTTGATCCCTGGGCCAAGAAGACAGCACACGCCTGGCTCAACTAAGCCCATGTGCCACATCTACTGAGCTCACCCTGATCTAGAGTCCATGCTCCAACACAGGAGAAGCCTGAGCATAGCAATTAGAGAGTAGCCTCCACTGGCTACAAGCACAGAAAACCCGCACACAGATAACAAGAGGTGGCAAAGCCAAAAATAAACAAATAATTTTCATGAATAAAATTTTTAAAAGGAGTCTTTGTTTCCAACTACAGCCTTCTCAGACATTGACTATTTCAGTTAATTAAGTTCATCCTACCCCAAGATCTGCTCTGGTCCTACAGAGCCAATCCTAGAAAGTAAGACCCAAAAGGATCAAACTGCTTCCAAGCATCTTAACATGATTTCAGAATAAAGCTCAAGAAGACTTTTAGGAATAGAAAAATATCAAGCATGCAAGGGAAATTTGATAATGCTTAGCATCAAATGTCAAATTATCAGGAGGCAAAGAAGCAGGAAACTCCAATCCATTGTAACAGAAATCAGTGTGTTTTTGCTCAGCTGCTCAGTTGAGTTTAACTCTTTGTAACCCTATGGACTGCTTCTCGCTAGTGTTCCCTGTCCTTCACCATCTCCCAGAACATGCTCAAACTCATGTCCGTGGAGTCATGATGCCATCTAACCATCTCATCTTCTGTCATTCCCTTCTCCTCCTGCCTTCAATCTCTCCCAGCATCAGGGTCTTTGGCAATGAATCAGCTCTTCGCGTCAGGTGGCCAAAGTGTTGGAGATTTCATTTTAACAGAAATCAGTTGAAATGCATCAGTTGGAAAGGAAGAAGTAAATGTGTGTTTATTTACAGACAAAATGATTGTCTATGTAGGAAGGTCAATGGGATCTACAAAAGAGCTATTACAACTAATTAATGAGTTTAGCATGGTTTCAGGATACAAGGATACTCTTGAGAGTGCCCTGGACTGCAAGATCAAACCAGTCAATCCTAAAGGAAATCAGTCCTGAATTTTCATTGGAAGGACTGATGCTGAAGCTGAAGCTTCAACACTTTTGCCAGCAGATGTGAAAAGCTGACTCACTGGAAAAGACCCTGATGTTGGGAGAGACTGAAGGCAAAAGGAGAATGGGAGGACAGAGGATTACATGGTTTGACAGCATAAGACACTAAGTGGACATGAACTTAGGCAAACTCCAAGATACAACAGGGACACAGAGCCTGGTTTGCTACAGTCCATGGGGTTGCAAAGAGTTAGACACAAGTTAGAGACTGAACAACAACAACAACGTTCTGGTATTATATCTTTGTAACTATAAAACTGACAAAATATTCCAAAATCAATACTGAATGGCAGTACACAACATTCTTATTCTCCCATTTCTTACATTGTCTTCACTTATGTTGTACTCCTTGAATATTTGGATCTCAGAATCTCCCTTCTAACCTGAAGATGAACGCAGTATTCAGAAGTGGACAAACTAAAACTAATGTCAGAGACCGCATAGTAGTTCAGTTTTATTTTCTGCAGTTAACAATCACCAAAAAACTATGTGGACACTGAGCCCCCAAACAGCAGCACAGGCACAAGGTGAAGCCCCATTAAACTACTGCAGAAAGCAATGCTCTCGGGAAGGACACTTGAGGCTAGGGCACATAGGCTAGGTTTAAGGCCCTCTTCTGTGCTGAAACTGATCAAAAAGGGGGGGGCACAGAAAGTTCAGCAAGGTCCACATCACCATGGAAAGCTGCTCCTGACAGAAGGCGACGGCCGTCTGGAGGAGGCCAGGGTCTTCAGCAGTCAATCGGCTAAAAGGGAGGGAAAATGAAATTCAAATTCCCGCGGAGAAGGAGGAAGAGGAGTATGTCCTCCCTCTGTCCCCGCACAGCAACAAGCCCAGAGCACCACACTTCTCTAGGCTTAACCCTCCATTATGGCTCTTCCTGAGCTTAGACTGGTCACCACCCACCAACCCTCCCTCGTCCCGGCCCCCTTTAGTACTGACAGAACCAACATGCGGCCATTAACGTAGAGGTCCCTCCGAACCGGCCATCTTAGCTGAGTACGTCGAGTCAGGAGGTGGCGGGCATTGTCCGCCTCCTCATATGATGAGAAAGGCACTGCGAGGCCGCTGGTGGAGATACGGTTAAGGTACCATTCACACTAGTCATTTTGCCTGTACGTCAGGCTCCCTGCTCACAGAGACCCGCCTTCTCCTACAAGGCCGCCACCGGACACCCTGGCTATCACCGCCCGACCCTCTGGTTCCCTTCAGGTTGCTTTTCCTCACCACCTTCCCCTGGCAGGCAGGCCACCCCTGACCCATACCCTCCAGCCCCCCAGAGTACCCTCCCCCTACAGTTTAAGCCCCACTGCCTGGATCCCCCCAAACCACCCCTAGCCCACACCCCGACCTCTGTGGCTGCTTGGCCCACCGGGGCTCCTGGAATAGGATACAACTGGTAGACTCGGGTACTCAGAACTCCGGCTCTGGGTGCAGCAGCTCCACCAGGCCCTGGAACGTGGGGTGCCCCCGGGATCTGCGGAATGGCAGCGGCTGCGCCACCTGACTCTCCGGCAGCGCTGGGCTCTCTGGGATCAGCCATGTCGCCGGAGCCGGCAGGGACTCCTCGACTGACGGCATCTCCAGGGCCAGCTGGGTCGCCAGGGCCATGGCGGCCAGCAGCACCACCCGGCACACCTTGGCTGCCCCGTGCTGTGCCCGCTGCAGAGGCCTCGGCACCTGCGTCTTCATCGGCTGCCCTCATGGCTCCTCCACCGTGTGCCTCGGACTCCATCTTGAACCACTCTCCCCCGCCCTCCGTGGTGGGAAAGACTGAACGGTCCCTACAGATTCCAGCCCAGCAGAGCGCCTGCGCACACACCCAGCAGAGCGCCTGCGCACACACCCCCTGGTCCTGCCTCACGATTGGTTCCCACCAACCATTGGTTCCCGCGAAGACTGCAGGCTCTCGGGCAAAATGGCGCCCCCTGCTGAAACGTCACATGTTCGCGTGCCATGTCGCCCCAATGTGCGTGCGCAGACGCCCACCCACGTGGTCTGGGCCCTCTGTGTCAGCCCTGCCTCAGGGCCCGGAAGACCGGTAAACGGCTCAGCCGCGAGGCCTCTGGGTGGCGCTCCACCCTTTAGTGTGGGGGCAGCTTCTCAGTGCGCATGCTCAAACAGACCCCGCCCCACTCCTTAGGGCACGTGACTGTTTCCACTCCAAATCTGCAAACCCCAAGTGAGCCCCGGTCCCTGTGCACCTCCAAGTCTGTGTTGCTGCCAGCCTGGCGTCGCTCACAGGTGACCATCCTGCTGAGCGCAGGTCCTTGTCATCGACTCCCAGAAGGGAGTCGGGAACCGCTGGATCAGGGCCGGTCTGTCCCTCTGGTGTCTCACACATAGCTCACGTGCATGTATGTGCGTCTGTGTGCGTGAGCGCGTGGGCAGGTGCATGCATATGGGCACGTGTACACGTGTGTTTGTGAGAGAGAGCACATGCCCAGATTCATGCACTTAGGTGTGTGTATCTGTGTGTATCTGTGCGTGCGCCCAAGAGAGTGCCCTTAACACAGGTGCCTGCCCGTCGGCGTGTGCGTGGGTGTGTTTCAGAAAGAGAGAGCACAAGCACAGATTCATGCACGTAGGCATGTGCATGTGTCTGTGTGTGGAGGTGCTTGCACATGGGCATGTATGTGTGGTCACGAGAGAGCATGTGGTCAGGTGCGTGCACATGGGTCTGTCCCTGTGTGCAGGTGTGTGTGTGTGTGCGTGTCAAAGAGAGCACGGTTGAATTGCATTCACATGGGCATGTGTGCCTGTGTGCATGCTTGCACAGGTGGCTTCACATGGGAGTGGGGTGGCCTGGCCCTGGAGGCATGATAGCAGGGATGTGGAGCCTGCCGTGCCTGCCCGCCTGGGGAGGGAAGCGGGGACTGCTGTTGGACACACTGGGGATGGCATGGGGCTGGGCTGCCTGGGGCTCCAGGCACACGGACTGCAGGGACTCCAGTCTGTGGGCTTGCCCGGGGCCCCTCAGAAGCGCCGGAGGAACCGGATACACTCAAGGACTGGGGGAAGGGCAGTGTTCCCCAGGACCCCGCCCAGTCTCTTGCCCTCTCCCATCCCTGATCCCCATCCCCTGGGCTGGAGAGTCCTCTCAGCCCTCACATCTAAGGCCAGCAGCATTCCCCCTCCACCAGTGCAGGGAGAGAGGCCCCGGGAGTGGCTGCCCAGGGGTGGGGCATCCCTGTCCTGCCTTCCCACCCACCCAGTTTCTCTCCATTCTGGCTCCGAGTCAGTTTTAGGGTGTGGGTAGATCCTGTCTACTGCCTGTGTCTGTCCCCTGCTCCGTGGCCTAGAGGACCCCAGCGGGGAGCCTGGACACATCTCTCCCTCAGGGGCCCACTGTCAGGTTGGGGGGACATTTGTAAGGGCAGTAGTGCTGTAGAAGGGATCTCACAAGACTACGATGGACTAGAGGGCAAGGGGCTAAGCCACATGACCCACCAGTGTCCTCCCTCTGCCTACTCCACATCTGCACCTGTGCTCTTCATCCATAGTGATAGGTAACACTTGCTACAGTCCATGCACTGTTTCATGTGCTTTCCATGGGTTCGTCCATCAGGTCAGCATTTCAGACATTATTGCCATGTCGGTATCCTGTCTCCCATGATGCAGGTCTCCTCTACACAAATCACACACACCCACTCTCTCCCCAACACCAGCGGCTCAAAGTCTTGTGCATTTTGGTTTCTGCATTTCTTAAAACTATGATGACCGTAGTGCTCCATCAGGCACTGGACTTAAGTTGGGTGTGAATGGTGAGATCTGCAAAGGAAAATGATGATGCCAATGACAAATAATGTGTGTGACAAGAGAGTGACAGAAGTATGAAGGAAAGACACTGTATGATAGAATGAGTTCCTCAGAGAGGTTACCACTGTGACAGGTGCATGGTTTTGAGTGAGTGTGACAGAGGGAATGTGTGACTGGGACAGGAATTTAAAAGGACAGAATGCGACGGGAAGAGACTAAGATGCAGATGATAGTGATAGCAGTAGTGAGCACCCAAGATGATAGATGATAACTTAACGTGTACGGAAAATGGTGAACAGTGCCACCGGATTCGTGGTCTCCAGAGGAGAACTTTTAATTCTGGAACCAAGAGACGCAGTTTCAGTCACTCAGTGCTTTGTGAAGTAGAAATTTTATTAAAGTGAAAGGGATAGAAAAGGCTTCTGACATAGATATCAGAATGGGGTAGAAAGAGTACCCGGTTTGCTAGTTTAAGCGGAGCATTATATACGCTTCTGCTAGCTGCTGAGAATAAGTAAAAGGATGACTCAAGGCTACGAAAATGTTGCCCAGACCCTTCCCCATAGCATACATCCCAGGATGACATCAGCAGGATATTAACCAGAAGAAATGGGTTAACTCAGAGCTCAAGGCCATGGAAGTTTTACGCAGACCTTCTCCCATAACATAGGTTCTGAGCTCAAAAAAAAAAAAAAAAAAAGCATGTCCTTGAGCAAGAGATTCTGCTGCCTACCAGGCCTCTGTGTCTAAGGCAAAAGAATGTGAAAAAGAAAGAATGTTCACCTCCTCTTTAAAGAGCCTTGGTCTCCCTAGCAACCTGACTAAGGTAATTTGCTCACAGATACCATGACAGCATGAGTGTGTGGCACACAGAGTGTGAGAGACAGAGTCTAGGAGAGATGGGGTGTAGGGTTAGGGTTAGGGATAAGTGTGATGGAAAAAGCATTATAGAGTGACACGGGAATATGCCAGAAAGAGTGTGTGTGACAGATAATCTGACTCAGTATGAGAAAGCAAATCTCAGAGACAATGTGTACGGAAGGAAATGGGTCTGTCACACATGGCAGGGTGCGACAGGCAATGAAGCTGACCATGGGAGGCAGCAGCCTGGGAAGATGGATCAATCCTCAGGGCCCATGTTTCCCCAAGGGCAGCCATCCCCAGGTTCAGCCAGTCTGGAGGAAGTCGGCAACTTGACTTGGCTCAGATGCCCAAGCCACGTTCTTCCCAATCAGTTTCATCAGTAATAAAGCTGATATTTAGGTTGAAACACATGCAAGGGGGGTGTGTCAAAGGCTGCAGATGGTAAGCAGGACCTGTTTGAAAGGAGTGGTAGGAGACACACAGCAGGCATGCATGGGTGGTATCAGTGAACTCCTAGGGGAAATGATTCAGGTGGTCCAATTTGTAAGTCTGTTCAGTTCTCCCGCTGAGTTGTGCCTGACTCTTTGCAACCCCATGAACCGCAGCATGCTAGGCCTCCCTGTCCATCACCAACTCCCAGAGTTTACCCAAATCATGGCCATTGAGTCGGTGATGCCATCCCCCTATCTCATCCTCTGTCATCCCTTTCTCCTGTTGCCTTCAATCTTTCCCAGCATCAGGGTTTTTTCAAATGAGTCAGCTTTCACATCAAGTGGCCAAAGTATTGGAGTTTCAGCTTCAACATCAGTCCTTCCAATGAACACCCAGGAATCATCTCCTTTAGGATGGACTGCTTGGATCTCCTTGCAGTCCAAGGGACTCTCAAGAGTCTTCTCCAACACCACAGTTCAAAAGTATCAATTCTCCTGTGCTCAGCTTTCTTTATAGTTCAACTCACACCCACACATGACTACTGGAAAACCCATAATGTTGACTACTTGGAACTTTCTTGACAAATTAATATCTCTGCTTTTTAATATGCCGTCCAGGTTGGTCATAACTTTCCTTCCAAGGAGTAAGCGTCTTTTAATTTCATGGCTGCAGTCACCATCTGCAGTGATTTTGGAGCTCCCAAAAATAAAGTCTGCCACTGTTTCCACATCTATTTGCCATGACGTGATGGGGCCCGATGCCATGATCTTAGTTTTCTAAATGTTGAGCTTTCAGCCAACATTTTCACTCTCCTCTTTCACCTTCATCAAGAGGCTCTTTAGTTCTTCTTCACTTTCTGCCATAAGGGTGGTGTCATCTGCATATCTTACATTTCATATTTCTCCTGGCAATCTTGATTTCAGCTTGTGCTTCTTCCAGCCCAGAATTTCTCATGATGTACTCTGCATATAAGTTAAATAAGCAGGGTGACAATATACAGCCTTGATGTGCTC